ACTGTCACCTGCCGCGGGTGGCCAGACATGCTCAACACCACAGGGCGGTGCGGTCTGGTACTGGTAGACCATGTCGCAACTGAGCAGCTCACCACAAACTGCTTGAGCGAGGAGGAGAGGACAAAGTAATCGATGGACGACCGAGACGTACCCAACTGACAGGTCCAATTCGAGACGTCAGAGACCACCTCAGCCTGAAGATCCCCAATCCAACCAGACTCGACCAGTTGCTCCGCTGAAAACTGAAAATCTCCACCCAGAATAAACGGCATGCCATACGCCCTCAGGACCTCCCCAATGCTGTGCAGCAAGGAAAGATTTTGACCGCGGCAGCCGATTCCAGTGTGCAGGTAGACCGATCCGACTAAAACACCTCCAGTACATAACCCACTCCAGAGCCCCAGACGAAATCGACATCCAGGAGGAACCGCGATACCATCAGGCAAATCATCGAGTCCTTTGAGGCCCCAGAGCTTCGAAGTCGCAATGCCCACTCCTCCAGTGGTGCCAGCCTCTGAACGACCTGAGGGGGCAGCAGGAGTGAGGAGTGAGACCATGCCAGCCTTGACCAGCGCCTGCTGAACGTCCACCAAACGTAGCTCCGTCTGGTGGTGCTCTTGGAAAACGTAGATGTCGGCATCCACAGAGTCGCAGAGCTCCAGGAAGGGCCTTCTCGTGACCTTACCCCTGTCCCCGCACTCGATGCCCCACGAGGTGATGTTGGCCGTACACAGCTTCCATACCTCAGGCCGACGGGCCGCAGGAGTCTCCTCCTGCACCGCAGGAGTCTCCTCCTGCACACTCTCGCCTCGAACTCGTCGATGGCCAGTAGCCCCAGCCCGCGCCGCCAGGGAGCGCCACCTGCCTCGGTGTGAGGCGGGCGCAGGCAGGCGGCGTCCAGCAGCTGCAGCGCCGACCCCGCTACCCCGACGGGGGTGGGGCACCAGCGACATCGCGGTCAGCAGGCATAGGAACATCAGCAGGAACATCAGCAGCCGCAGGGCCAGGCGCGGCCGAGGGGGCCGCCGCCGCCGCAGCCTCTGGGCCTGGCGCGTCCCTCCTGGGCCTCTTGCTGAGGGCTGAAGGGTTCTGCAGGAAATCGAGCATGGTCCTGTAGAGACCTTCGTACTGCCCTGCCTGTCCGCCCTCCAGCAACTCAGTAAGTTGCTGCTTGCAATCCTCCGCCACACGTGAGTCCGAGGGTGCCGCTGGGGCTGGCGAAGGGCCGCTGCCCGACATGGCACGCTGCGCGGCCTCCTCGGCCTGTGCCTTCCGCCGTGCTTCCTCCTGCTCCTGGAAAGAGGCCCCAGCAGCAGCCAGGTCGCCCAGGAGGTCCACCGCGGTGCGGAGCTGGTCCGCCTTCGCCACTCTGAACGAATCGGGCAGATGGCCGAACAGCGTCTCCACCAGCCCGTTGACAGCCGCCTTGCAGTCATCACCAGCAGGGTGAAGAGCAGCACGTCGATGGAGCCTCTGGAGCTCCTCCTCTTCCTTCTTGACCGATTCCGCCAGAGCCGCCTGGGATGCAACGCAGTCCTCCAGGTCCTGCTCCAGCTCCGTGATCTGTTGACGGAGGTTGGCCTCCGTCGCCTTCGACGCAGTAAGCTGGCCCTGGAAGTGGGCCAGCTTGTCCTGATGGGACCGAACTCGCATCCATGGCGGTGGGCCACGTTCGTCAGGCTGAGCAGCAGCAGCGGAGGGCACCTGAGCCTTGGCGGCCACCATGAGCGGGTGGTCGTCTGCCAGCCCAGCAAGCGTGAGCTGCTCCACTGCAGCCGCGAGGTAGTCGCGCTGCGTCTGCTTGCCACCTGTGTCCGATCCTTTGCCACTGCGCTGCTGGGCCGAGCCGCCCTTCCCACTCCCAGACTGGGACTGGTCAGCACTCGTGCCTGGGCTCGACTTGGCCTTGCGGCGCGTGGACTCCACCTGTTGCCATGCATCCTTGGACTGCTGCTCGCCTGACCAAGGACGGGGGGGCCCCTTGACCGTGTCCCGAACCGGGTCGTCGCGGAGCCACTTCTTGCAACGATAGCAGCGAGCCCAATCCACCAGATTATACTGATAGCCACATGAGCTCTTGCCATAGCACGTCTTGTAGCCGCTCTGGGAGCGGGTCTGGTGTCTGCTCTGGGAGCGGGGCTGCGGGGGCGCGGGGACCATGCCACAGCAGCTCGAGAGCAGGAGAAGCCAAAATCCCTCATCCCATGCAGCGATATTCGTGTACCGGTTCCGGCCCTCGAAGAGGACACTTTCGATTCCTCGAGCTGCTTTTGATGTCGAGTGTCCCATGCATGCGATATTCGTGCACCGTGGAGGCGACATCGGCACCTCGGGTGGCAGTCCAGTCCAGTCCGGCCCTCGAGGAGAGAAAAGCAAAATGCCTCCGGGCTGCCTTCGCCGTACCCCTTTTGAAGAGGTCGGGGCCGCTGGGGCCGCGCAGGCCCACCAGCCCACGCTCGCAGGGGTGGAGGCAGGCTCCGCGAAGCCTCACGTCGGGCCTGTCCCTCTACGGGGGGAGATTCAATAGTAGTCAAACAAAGTAATCGTGGGACGATGTTCTGACTATGTTTGACCATTTTTGGGAATATCTGTGGGGGTATGTTTGATCTTTCGCCCAAAATCCCCCTGTAGGGGGACAGGCCCGACCTCAGCGAAGCCCGAAGGCACAGGCATCTACCGCCACCTTAGGTGAGTCGGCCAGTGAGGCGAAGGCCACGCCAGTAAGGGTCTGGATCGATCTAACGATGCTCAGGATGGGGCCGGAGGGTGCCGCCACGCCATAAAGACAAACCATACGGCTCGATGTGTAGCCTGACTTTCTCCCTCCACGCCGACGGCGCCGATACATCGCCGACGTTCCCAGTGCATCGGCGATGCGTTGCGGATGCGGCACGATCATCTGATTCCATTTTTTGCATCGGGATGAGAACGGCATCGGGATGAGAAGCGGATCACCGAATTGGATCTAGACTTCGGGATGGACCACGTTCGAGGAAAACGCGACACTGGAGTTGTGAGGACGATGGCGGCGGCGATGGCGTCGTCGCCGACGATGGCTGCGGCAGCTCCAGACATCTCGGGGAGATTGTTTGTCCCCGCGTCTAATTTGTTCCTGGGGTTGTCCCTGTTACTCTTTTTCCCTTCTTTTTGTATGTTCCACTGGCGTCGATCAGGGCCATCGCCGCGTCTGAGCCTTCTCCCTGCTCCTCCATCCCTCCTCGTCCTGCAAGCAAATCCCACCTGCACAGTCTGCCCCTGGCACGATGGCGCGAAGTTCACCGTGCATGTCGCGGAGCGCGAAGCGCGAAGCCGGGAAACTGATAAGAACCCAGACCTCGGACGTCGCGATTGCTTCAGAACCCCCGGGATCCAACGCATTGGAAAAAACAAGACGGAGGTGTTTCGCGGTCTTTGGCCTCTGGCGGCCCTTGCCGGGCCCCGGGACCGTCAAAAAACGGTTCAGGATGAAAAGCCGGTCCTGGGGAATGGGTCGAGACTTCCGGGGACCCCGTTGATGAGCTTGTTTTCCACCACCACCACCATAAGTTGGGGGGGGGGAAAGAGGAGGAGGGCGTGTGGAGAAGCACAGAGGAAGAAAGAATGTGCCGCAGCCCCTACCAGTCAGCTCGCGCCCGAGGGCCAGGAGGAGGAGGAGGACCCCCCCTCCAACTTATGGTGGTGGTGGTGGAAAACACGCCCATCCCCCGCATCGAAAAAGTCACGACACGACATCGGATCTCTGGGACGTGGGCCCCCGCAGTTTTTTGCCCGCGCGTTTGTGCCAAGACCTTCTGTCGCCATGATCTTTTGCGACTGGAAGAGGATCCAGGGACCTCTGGGGCCCCCGGATCAGCAAGAGCGGGGTGACTACGTTGCAAAGCCTTGGAGGCTGGATTCAGCATCGGCGCTGGCATGTCCGCGGTCGAAAGCCGTCCTGATCCTGCCCATGCCCGTTCAGTCCGGCCAAGGCCTGGGCCTGAAGCGGCCCAAGGCTGCTCAGTGGCCCCCGAGTCTGGCTTAGTGGTCCCCACCTACCCTCCGACGTCGCAAGCTTGTTTGTAACGCCGCCTCCCCCGGGATGTCAAACCCTGGGGCCAGCTTCGCATCCATGAGCACTTTTTCGAAGGCCCCAGGGCCAGGAGAAACGGTCTCCGGAGGCCGAGAACGTCCAAGTACCCGCGGCGCCGAGATTCGAGGGCTACTTGGCGGGTCTCAGACCGTGGTAGATCGTTCCAGAGCATTCCGAATTGCTCTCAGAGTGTTCTTCGGCGGGTCAAAGATGAGGTCTTGAGGGATGGGGTTCTAAGGACGAGGTGCCTCAAACAATGTAAATCCGCCTTTGGATCCCTTCCGATCCTTAGGTCCCAATCCCTCCGGACCCCATCTTTGAACCACCGAGTTGTGGAGCGCACGGCCGGTGCGTCCGATACATCCTCCAGGACCGCCAGATCTCACAGATGCATGATCTGTCCTGGTCCGATGTTGTCCCCGTCTTGGCTTCGTGTGAGAGTGTTGTTTTAGAGGGTCCTGCGATAAGCCGAGTTATCGGGCCCCTCCCCACATAACTTGGCCGTGTCGGTTGGGCAGGTCGGAAGGGTTGGGGGGTGCGCAGGGAGTTGACAGGGAGCGCGGTGCTCAACGCCGCGGTGTTGCTCGCAGATGCATGCCTGTGTTCATACTTACCTATGCGCTAATGCTCGCTGTCCATACCTAACCTATTCCTAGGCATTCCCAGAAGGCGCCGGCATCCTCGCGGCACCACTGGCAGCATCGTCGCAGCGTCGTTGGCAGCAGTAGGAGACGCAGTCCTGGCGCGCGCGGGTATACCTGGGGCTGCCACAAGCGGAAAGGTCAGGTCATCTCCCCCCCCCCGGGGGTAACTTGGGCCGACGCATGACACACGTTTTCTTTATCTCCGTGGAGAACTCCCGGGAGTTGCCTCCCGAGGGCGGCGGCGGCCGACGTGCCCCGCCCCACCGCCTCCCACCCCGCTTGGGCAGGGGAACGCGACGGTGGCTGGGCAGTTCAGCGTTGGAGGGGCGCCCCTGATGGACCCCGCCCGCGGCCCCCCCCCTGCGCCGGAGGGAGTGGGGCAGGAGGATCAGAGAAGGACGGGGCACCGATACCTTTAATCCTAGGACCCAGACCCCCTCGAGTCATGAAAAAATCACGACGGGAGGTTTTTCATTATTTTTGGCCTCTGGGGGCCCTTGCCGGGCCTCGGGACCGTCAAAAAACGACTCAGGACGAAAAACCGGTCCCGGGGAATGGGTCCAGACAGCTGGGGGTCGACGTCATGAAACATTCACGACGTCGGGGGTCTGGGATCCTAGGAAGCAATCGGCACATATCAGCACCCCCCCCTCCGTTAGAGGAAATTGCAACGCCGGCGCCACCGGGGCCAGGCGGAAGCGGCATCCCTTGCAGAGGACCGCATGACAAGATTGTTGGGCGGGCAGGAGGAAAAGGAGGAGGGTTCCGACAACGGGTTTACATCTGGATCCCAGTAGAAGCCTTCGCCAGGTGCTCAGAGCTGGGGATCCTCCTGGGAGGCCCTCGTCGCCACAGCTGGACCCCCTCGAAATCTTAGTCAGAATACACCCTGGGGGAGGCCTGGAGTACTCCGGCGGGACGAAAGTTTAGGCCCATCTGCCTCCCCCAGTGGAGTTCCCTCGCGCCGGCGCGGAAGAATTATCCCTAAACTATGCGGAAGAAGTAATCCTTTGAAATTAACAGCTGCTACTGATTAATCTCCGTGGAAGGACTTTGTTCGCTTCCGCCGCGGGCGCGCAACCGCTGCGCTTTTGTTGTCTTGGTGTAGGACTCCACGGGGGAGGGGGGGGCCATCGCAAGTCTTGCGACGCTCTCGCCTTCATTCGCCGCGGCAAGATACATGGGCCAAACTATTGTCGCGGCGGTGTAGCGGTCGGCATATATTGATCCCGTGTCGAGGGCTCACAGCCCCCATTCCCAGATGGGATGGATCCCAGGGTTCACAGGCCCCCACCCCTCCTGATGGAATGGGGGGGGCGACGACGACGTCGACGACGATCACGACCACGATCACGACCACGACTACGACCACGACAACGACTAGGACCACGACCACAACGACGACGACGACGATGACGACCACGACGACGACGACGATGACGACGACGACGACGCCACGACCATAGGGGGGGAGGTGGGAGGTGAGTGGGGCCCGGAGGCATCAGCATCGGGGGGGGACTGGCGGAGCTCTGGATCATATATGATCCAGGGCTCCGCTTTCCACCCGCGCAGGGGATCACCTCCCCCCTGCTGGATGGGTACGCCCGTGAGCCTCGCGAAGGCCTCGCGAATGGGATCGCCCCCCTCCCCCCCTCTGTGGTCGCAGCCTTGTGGGCGTCGTCGTCAGAGGAGGAGGAGGAGGAGGAGGAGGAGGAGGAGGAGGACCAGTGTAAACCCAACAGTCATCAACGATGTTGGAAGCAATCCTCCCTCCAGGCTCCCTCTTTCACAGGCCCCTACAACGGTTCATCTGAACTGAGGGAACCGCCTCGTTGGAAGACAACCGTTTGAAGACCCTGAAGCATGCCAAAGCAATGTTCTCGGGATGCCAATGCCACGGATCAACCCGACTGCTTCGTCTTGACGATCCGGAACCGTGCCAGAACGCGATTTCTGGGATTTCAACATCGCGAACCAACATAATTGTTGCACCCGCATAATCATGTACCCTTCCAAAACATAATTTCTGGCACGTTGATCATGGGGACCAGTGGAACCCTTGCAAGTTTTACAACGCATGTGCGCGGCGCTAATGCGAGAGCCACATTTTGAAAACCACCCGCCCTCAATCTGTGAAACTCTTGCAAATGTTTGTAACGAATGTGCGCGGCGCTAAGGCGAGAGCCACATGTTGAAAACCACCCGCCCTCAATCCGCGAAGCTCTTGCAATTGTTTCAAACGAACGTGCGCCGCGCTCAGGCGAGAATCACATTTTGAAAACCACTCGTCCTCAATCCGTGAAACTCTTGCAATTGTTTGAAGCGTATGTGCGCCGCGCTAAGGGGAGAGCCACATTCTGAAAACCACCCGCCCTCAATCCGTGAAGCTCGTGCAATTTGTTCAACGAATGTGCGCGGCGCTAGGGCGAGAGCCACATTTTGAAAACCACCCGCCCCACTTGTTAAGCCTCTGAGTCATAAATGGTGAGGAAGTCTCAGGCGAAACGCCCGGCCCGCCCTAAAAACTGGCCTCGGGGTGCGACAGGGAGAAATTATTTATAAGGAAAAGAATGGAGGAGGAGGAGGAGGAGGAGGAGGAGGAGGAGGAGGAGGTGGGTACCGTGTGGGTTGGTTCGTCGTCGTCGTCGTCCTCGTCCTCGTCGCTCCCCCATCCCATCTGGGGTGTGTGGCTGTGGAACTTTTGGACCCATCCCATCTGGATTGGGGGATGAGCTTGTGAACCCTCGATTTGGGATTCCACATGGGCAATTTTATCCCCACAGAGGAGTTTCGGAAGTTCCAAAACGGTGCGGTGACCACACCGCGTGGTGAGTTAGTGGGGATCCGGAGTGGCGGCACTGTTTTGGGACCTGGGTCGTTCTGCGAGGACGTCTCGTTCGACTGGGGCCTCCAAGGTCCCAGAAGATTCCTCGACTGTTCTTTTGTCCCGTTGACTTGGCGTTGTGTGGGCAGGGTGTCGCAAGAAAGGGGCCCAACCTAACCATTACCCATGGGCATGTGCTGCTATTATCGACTTCAGTTTGGGCGATCAAGGACCTTGCACCACCCATCGGCTTCAGTTTGCACCACGCATCCCCATGACGCATTGTACCACCCGTCGTGAGGCCCCGGGAGGCAGCAGATAGTCAATGGCTTCCCGTCGTATGTTTTCACGGTGCGAGGCGTATCTACCCCACACGCAGAGATAGAGAGAGACAGCACAGTAAAAAACACATCCACTCCGTCCCACGCAGGCGCGCCCCACGAGCCCAGGGGAGACCGGCCTCCCCATAGCCAACCCGAGCCAAAGGTCTGTTCATCCCCCGCCATTGCTCCGTGTTCCTCGTTTCCTCCCTCCCTCCCTCTCCTCTCGCGGCCCCCCGCACCCGTACAGCTTTAGGATGTGTGGCCTCCGGGGCTGGGCGTGCAAGGAGGTCAGTTCTAGAGGACGCAGTCATCCCTTGCTTTCAGCGGAGAGCGACCGCCCGCTAGGAATCTGCCTCTCCCTCCTCCTCCTCCTCCTCCTCCTCCTGCTCCTCCTCCTCCTCCTCCTCCTCCTCCTCCTCCTCCTCCTCCTCCTCCTCCTCCTCCCTCCTCTTCCCTACACCTCGTGGCGCTGCCGCCCCCCCCCCGCACGGAATCTGCCTCTGGCCCCGGGGCCCGCACCTGGATTGCACAGGCCGCCCGCGGGCCGGCCTCGGCCGATCTGACGCACAGTCCGATGTGACCCCATTTCCCGACTCGGTGGCGGAGGGTTTCTCCGAAGGGCTTAGGCGACGCGTCCTCCCCCTCCTCCTCCTCCTCGTCGTCCTCCTCCTCCTTCTCCTCCTCCTCCTCCTCATCTTCCTCCTCCTCCTCCTGATCCTCCTCCTCCTCCTCATCTTCCTCCTCCTGCTGATCCTCCTCCTCCTCCTCCTCCTCCTCCTCCTCCTCCTCCTCCTCCTCCTCCTCCTCCTCCTCCTCCTCCTCCTCTTCCTTCTCCTCCTCCTCCGTCTCCTCCGGCCCAGAGGTAGGGAGGGAGGGAGGGAGGGAGGGAGGGAGGGAGGAGGAGGAGGAGGTTTCTGGATCCCGCCATACAGAAACGATATTTTCTTCTGCTCCATGGCCCCAGGGTTGTGCCGCGGGGCTGGGCCGCGGCGGCGCGCGCGGACTGGCCACCCCATACAGTCCCGCAGCAGCTCGCGGGTGCGTGGCCTCGGCGCCCGCGCGGATGGCCGCAGGGGGCCTCAGCCTCCACGACGTCGTCGCGGTCCGGAGGAACTTCCTCTTAGAGACGAGGACGGCAACGAAGTTCGGCGGATCACCCAGGGAACCTCGACGTCTGCAGGCGTCTCAAAAGATCGAGGCGAAGGTTTTGCCTCGTTTTCGGCCGCTCGGGACCTTCAAGACAACAGCTCGGGATGAAGACCCGGTCCCGGGGAAGTGCTCGAGACGCCGCGCGTGTGGGCCTGATTTTTCGTATCGCTCGTGCTCCCGGGGCCGCCTTTGGGCCCCCTGGGCCTTCCTGGGCCCCGGGGCCCTCCGAGAACGGCGGGGGATGAGCAACGGGTGCTTGTTGGAAAACTGGAATCTAAGACGGCAAGATCAATGGGAGGGGGACGAGGGAGGAGGAGGAGGAGGAGGAGGAGGAGGAGGAGGAGGAGGAGGAGGAGGTTGAGGAGGAGGGGGAGGAGGAGGAGTAGGAGGAGGGGGAGGAGGGAGGAGGAGGGGGAGGAGGAGGAGTAGGAGGAGGGGGACGAGGGAGGAGGAGGAGGAGGAGGAGGAGGAGGAGGAGGAGGACCCGCCTGATCAATGCGCCAAGAGGAGCGACGCCGTCGACGACGGCTACATGAGGGCCAGGGTGGGGGACGCCGTGAGGGTGCTGCACATCGGCCAGGGGGGTGGCGACGAGGAGGGCTGGCTGTACGTGAGCACGCCGAGGAGCAGGAGGGGCTGGCTGCCCAGCGCGTACGTCGAGCCTCACAGGGACGCCGTGGCCAAGCCGACGGCGACGCCCGGCGCGGCGCCCTCCACAGAGCGCCGCTCCCCCAGGACAGGCGTGCTGTGGACGGCGGTGGTCCAGCAGAGGGTCCCGTCCGAAGGCCCAGGATACATCGCGGTGCGCGAGGGCGACGTCGTGGAGGTGCTTCACAGCCTGGGGGGCGTCAGCTGACCACATCACCGATCCCTGCCAAAAATAGTTTAAAATTAGTTCGGGGGCTACTTTTGAGCATTTTTGACCATTTTGGAGCATTTTTTATTATCTGTCATGTTTCGTCGAAAATCCAGCTGTAGGAGGACAGGCCCGACTTAAGCCTAGGGGGAGGGCCTCGCCGTTGAGGGGTCGAGGAGTTGGAACATCGTCCCCAGCGGAAGCTGGCGGAAGCAAAGCGAGGGCGGGCGGCTCTGCCCGCGGGAGCTGACATCGCCGCCCTAAGAGATTACAGCTCTGGGGGGTCAGGACTACAATTAGGTCGGGCTTGTTTCTCTACAGGGGGGGATCTTCAAAAAGAGTCTAAACATAGTCTGGGGAATATGTTGTGAGGATGGTTTGGCCTTCTTGCGGTATGTTTGCGGCAGTTTTTCCATTTTTCGTTGCGAATCCCCTCGTAAGGGGGACAGGCCCGACCTAACCCTAAGAGGTTGCAGCTATGGGGGGATCAGGATTACAGCTCTGGGAGGTCCAGGACCGGCCGGGCCAGGACCGCCAGGGGAAGCCAACAGGGGGTGAGGACTGGGGGGGGAGTGGATCTCATGCTCAGGACGTCGCGGCACCCTTTCCTTTTTTCGAGACGTTCCCTTGCCCACCTCTTGTCCGCGCAGGGGCTTCGATTCCGAAGAAGGAACAGCTGCACAAGCTCCGAGCTCCGAGCTGATGGCTTCGATCGGCGCTGGGACCCCCCTGGTGGCGCCGGCAGCGCCTGGCGCGCTCCACGCGCCAGGGGAGGGGGGGGGGTCAATCGCCGATCCAGGAAATCCGCGCGGAGCTGCGAAAGTTTGTGCTTGTGCACTTTCCTTTTTCATTGTTTTGGATTCTTCGAGGAACAAAACACAGACACGATGAGAATCGCCCATTTCCAAGAAAATATGGAACATATGGGAAGCGGAGGGGAAGACGAACATCCAAGCATCCAGCACATATGGAAGATATGGGGAGTCCTGTGACTTGTGTCTATCTTGGGCCCCTATCAACATCATCGGCGCACAGGAGATCGGTGAGGCGGTCAGCTGGCGTCTCCCGAGCGAGCGGCGCCGGGGTGGAGGATGGATGGCTCTACGTGCGCCGCGGCCCGAGGGGCCAGGTGTTCGAGGGTTCGAAGAGGATCGGGGCTCAAGGGACGGGGGTCAATGCAAACGGACGTCAGCCAGAGAGTCGGATCTTGCAGGGTCCTGCGGAGCAGTTGCTGCATCGACCCGCGCTTGCGTGCAGGATCCTGCGAAGCCTAGCTGACCTGGGTTTGGATTGCTCCAGGTTGGTAGGTCCCCGAGAAGGGTCCCTGGGAGGTGGGCCCGGAGGACTGGACAGCCACGTTGCCTCTACCGGGGCCTTGTCTGCTGCGGCGCGGATTCGAGGCGGATCTGACAAGTCCGACAGGGGTTCGACGCGGATTCGACGTGGGCAGCTGCGCAGCAGGACAGACAAGGTCCCCCCGAATTCGCGACATACGGAAAGGGCTTCCAGGTTGAATGCGCACTGTTCAAGATTTCCTAGCCCTGGGGCTCCCATGTCCCAAGACATCCAGCGATGCGATTTGTTTCAATGCGCGGCTTTCGTCCCCCCAGGTCAGTTTTTCCTGGTCTTGAGGCCCGATGAAGGGCCCTAGAATGCCCCCAGGGGTGAACAACTTATACCGTCGGAGATCTGGGTCTCAAGGCCCCATTTTAGGATGCAGCTCCTGGGAGGTTCAATTCAGCATCGGCGCTGGTAGATCCGTGGTCGAAGACCGGCACAATCCGACACTCCCGCTTAATTCCGCTCAATCCGGCTTAATCCTGGGCTTAATTTGGGCTAATTTGGTTAAAACGGCCGCTTCATCCGGAGGTCCTGAATCTGCAAAGAACATTGCAGCATCGCGCAGAGTCGCGACGACAGTCCTAGACCCCGATCTTTTTGCTGCCTTTCTCGAGCCTGATTGTGATGGCCCCGAGCACGGGGCACCAGTCGAAACCGGGCGGAAACGCCCGGCGTGAAGCAAATGTAACGCCCAGATTTCAGAGCTCGGGCGACCTTTTGCCCTTCTCACGAAGACCTCCCAGGACTTGGCTCTGGTGCGAGCCGTGCGCAGAGGCACGGGTGTGCGCAGAGGGGTGCGCAGTGCGCAGAGGGGTGGCTCCGAGGTGTGGGGTGTTTGCCCCCGGGGGCGCCGCCGAGGTGTGCGCAGAGGCGTACGCAGAGGGGCGGGGTGGCTTTCGCAGTGCCGAGGTGTGCGCAGAGGGGTGGCTGCCCCGGGGCGCCGCCGAGCCGCCGCGCGGGGAGCGCGGCGCAGCGGTGCCAGCCCAGCGAGAGTGCCCCGCCCTGGCGGCCGAGGCCCGGGGCAGTGACGAAGTGCCCTGCCGCGGTCGGCGGCAGGTCCGTGCCCCTGCTGCGGCCCACGGCTCTGGACGTCAGGGGGCAGGCAAGGAGGAAGCGCTTGGCGTCCAGGGGCCAGACTTAAGTCGGGCCTGTCCCTCTACAGAGGGAATATTCAAAAATAGTAAAAAACATATTCAGGGGACTATTTTTTGAATCGTTTTTGACCATTCTGGAGTATTTTCGAGTGCTTTTTATGTTTCGTCCAAAATGCCCCTGAAGGGGACACGCCCGACTTACTCTTAATCCAGATCCCCACTCTGGCTCCTCGTGGGGTCGCGGCGTGAGCAGGGGCATGGGTACAATGTATTGGTCGCCTTGTTTTTGGCCCCTTGAGATGTGACGGCGCGAACACATGCAACGTCGTGAGAAATCGCGCACTTCCCCAGAACTCCGACGGTGTGATTTGGCGAAGCCCCGAAGTTCTTTCATAGATTTTCGCCCTCGGGGAACTTCCGGGCATCAGGCACGAGCAAAAGTCGGTGGAGGACGGGGGAAGTTGTCGGAGCTCCAGGGCCGCGGGTTCAACAAAATCACTCCGTCGGATGTCTGCTCTCGAGCCGGACGGAGTCCGGGCAGAGACGCCCCGTATGAGAAAGTTGCGGCGCCAGGTTGCCCACCAAAAGATGCTCTAAGTGTTGATCTGTGGTTTGCGCAGGATGGTAACAGATGTTAGCCAGCGCTGACCCAACGCATTAAGTGCTTGCACTGCGGTTGTGTGAGCCGATCGGTGCCAACATATGTGGTGTGAGCTATTTGGTGAAGTTTACGTGGTGCAAGCTGGAGGCGGCAACGGGCGGCAACGTGGCGAAACCTCGCCGAACCAGCCCAGCGCACGCGGCGGCAAGGAGGCGGTTACAGGCGGCAACGTGGCGAAACCTCGCCAGACCCACCCAGCGCTCGTGGCGGCAACGAGGTGTCGACGGGGGGCAACGAGGCGACACCTTGCCAGACCCACCCAGCGCTCGAGGCGCCAATGACTCGGCAACGTGCGACAACGTGGCGAAACTTCGCTGGACCCACCCCACGCACGAGGCCGCAACAACAGGCAACGACGCGGCAACCTCGGCGGACCCACCCAACGAGGCGGCAACGGGCGGCAACGTGGCGAAACCTCGCTGGACACACCCGGCGCACGAGGGGGCAACAAGGCGGCAACGACGCGACAACGTGGCGAAACCTCGCTGGTCCCACGCAGCACTCAAGGTGGCAAAGAGGCGGCAACGGGCGGCAACGTGGCGAAACCTCGCCGAACCAGCCCAGCGCACGCGGCGGCAAGGAGGCGGTTACAGACGGCAACGAGGCGAAACCTCGCCAGACCCATTCAATTCCGTAGCAAACGAAGGAAGAGATCCCAAAGTGCAAGCGCTGAGGGGGAACATCCCTGGCCGAGGCAGAGCCGTCTGAAGATGCCGGCTGCATCTGTCCTTGGAGAAACACTTTTGTCAGAGCCCGGGTGCCCACATTGTTCACCACCCACCAAACCACCCCAACCCAACCCGAAAGCTTCAATTTGCCCTCCATTTCCAGTGGGGGGGGTCGGGGAACATCGAAATTACACTACCGAGGAACCCCACATACTTAATTTTATGTCCTTTGTACACCATGCTACCACTGCCACCGCCACCACCACGAGCCACACCAGCCTTCCATCGAACATTTAGAAGCAGTTGCAGTGGGAACCTGGGCTGAGGGTGCTGACTTCGATCTTTCAGATCAGGTGCAGACTTCGATCTTTCAGATCGGCTTGATCCGCGATATTTGCGGATCAGGGCAGTGCCGTGGATAAGCACCCCTTTTAGAAACCATGCATCCGCACCCAGGAGTGTCCAGAAACCGCCACGCCTGCTGCAATAGGCTTTGCGGCAGTGTCGTGACAGCCGGCTCGGATAGCGGCCGCGCTCAGGGACCACCCCCTGCGCACCTCCTATGGTGTCGGGAAAGTGCCGCTCCGGCTATGCCCTGGACGACCGGCTCGGATAGCGGCCGCGCTCAGGGACCACCTCCTTCGCACCCTCTATGGAGAGTGCCAGTGCTGCCTTGCCCTGAACGACCGGCTCGGATAGCGGCCGCGCTCAGGGACCACCTCCTGCGCACCCCCTATGGTGTCGAGGGAGTGCCACTCCTGCTTTGCCCTGGACAACCGGCTCGGATAGCGGCCGCGCTCAGGGACCACCCCCTGCGCACCTCCTATGGTCCTATGGTGTCGGGAAAGTGCTGCTCATGTTATGCCCTGGACGGCCGGCTCGGATAGCGGCCGCGCTCAGGGACAACCTCCTTCGCACCCCCTACGTTGTCGAGAAAGTGCCAGTCCTGCCGTGCCACTCCTGCTATGCTCTGGACGACCGGGCTCGGATAGCGACCGCGCTCAGGGACCACCCCCTGCGCACCCCCCCGGGTGTCCGGAAAATGCCACTCCTGCTATGCCCAGGACGACCGGCTCGGATAGCGGCCGCGCTCAGGGACCACCCCCTGCGCACCTCCTATGGTGTCGAGAGAGTGCCACTGCTGCTATGCCCTGGACGACCGGCTCGGATAGCAGCCGCGTTCAGGGACCACCCCCTGCGCACCCCCTACGGTGTCGAGAAGTGCCAGTCCTGCCTTGCCCTGAACGACCGGCTCGGATGGCGGCCGCGCTCAGGGACCACCCCCTGCGCACCTCCTATGGTGTCAGGAAGGTTCCACTCTTGCTTTGCCCTGGACGACCGACTCGGATAGCGGCCGCGCTTAGGGACCACCTCCTGCGCACCCCTTCTGGTGTCGAGGAAGTGCCACTCCTGCTTTGCCCTGGACAACCGGCTCGGATAGCGGCCGCGCTCAGGGACCACCCCTGCGCACCTCCTATGGTCCTATGGTGTCGCGAAAATGCTGCTCGTGCTATGCCCTGGACGACCGGCTCGGATAGCGGCCGCGCTCAGGGACCACCTCCTGCGCACCTCCTATGGTGTCGGGAAAGTGCCAGTCCTGCTATGCCCTGGACGACCGGCTCGGATAGCGGCCGCGCTCAGGGACCACCTCTTTCGCACCCCCTACGGTGTCGAGAAAGTGCTATCCTGCCTTGCCCTGGACAGCCGGCTCGGATAGCGGCCGCGCTCAGGGACCACCCCCTGCGCACCTCCTATGGTGTCGGAAAAGTGCCACTCCTGCTATGCCGTAGACGGCGGGTTCGGATAGCGGCCGCGCTCAGGGACCACCCGTTGCGCACCCCCTACGGTGTCGGGAAAGTGCCACTCCTGCTATGCCCTGGACGACCGGCTCGGATAGCGGCCGCGCTCAGGGACCACCTCCTGCGCACCCTCTATGGAGAGTGCCAGTGCTGCCTTGCCCTGAACGACCGGCTCGGATAGCGGCCGCGCTCAGGGACCACCTGCGCACCCCCTATGGTGTCGAGGAAGTGCCACTCCTGCTTTGCCGTGGACAACCGGCTCGGATAGCGGCCGCGCTCAGGGACCACCCCATGCGCACCTCCTATGGTCCTATGGTGTCGGGAAAGTGCTGCTCATGTTATGCCCTGGACGGCGGGCTCGGATAGCGGCCGCGCTCAGGGACCACCTCCTTCGCACCCCCTACGTTGTCGAGAAAGTGCCAGTCCTGCCGTGCCACTCCTGCTATGCTCTGGACGACCGGGCTCGGATAGCGACCGCGCTCAGGGACCACCCCCTGCGCACCCCCCCGGGTGTCGGGAAAATGCCACTCCTGCTATGCCCAGGACGACCGGCTCGGATAGCGGCCGCGCTCAGGGACCACCCCCTGCGCACCTCCTATGGTGTCGGAAAAGTGCCACTCCTGCTATGCCGTAGACGGCGGGTTCGGATAGCGGCCGCGCTCAGGGACCACCCCTTGCGCACCCCCTACGGTGTCGGGAAAGTGCCACTCCTGCTATGCCCTGGACGACCAGCTCGGATAGCGGCCGCGCTCAGGGACCACCCCCTGCGCATCCCCTATGGTGTCGAGAAAGTGCCACTCCTGCCATGCCTTTGACGACCGGCTCGGATAGCGGCCGCGCTCAGGGACCACCTCCTGCTCACCCCCTATGGTGTCGAACGCCGCGCTCAGGGACCACCACCAACGCACCCCCTCTGCTGTCGAGAAAGTGCCATGCCTGCCGTGCCCTCCGCATTGTACACGTGCGTGTTGTGTATGGCGTGTCATGTGCGCTCTGCTCTGATGAGCTGTGCAGTGCTGTGCTGTGCCGAGCTGAACTGTGCTGAGCAGCGCTGTGCTGTGCTGCGCTGCGCTGTGTTGTGAAGTGTGCTACGCGTGTCTCATGTACGTGCCGTGCAGGTGTCGCGCGTGGGTGAGGGAGTGTATGTGTGTATGTGTTTGTGTCTGTGTGTGTGTCTGTGTGTATGTGCCTGTGACGGTGTGCTTGTGTATGTATGTGTGTATGTCACGTCTGCCACGTTTTGCGGGAGAGGGAGGTGCGTGCGGGTGAGAGACGCGGGTGCGACGCGGCAGGGAAGAAAACCATAACCCCACGAAGCATGTGGGGAAAATGTTGTGCATTGTTTTTGCTGGGGTCGGAGACCCCCCCTGTGCAGGAGTGAGCATCGCATGGCACGATTGGAGCATTACTTACAGGTCCTCTTGGCTCAAGAGATGACAGCAACATCATCAATCTAGCTACATGGTAGCGGAGCTCGGTTCCCAAGCCACGGGAGCTGAGCTCGCGTGCCACTCGACCTCCCAGCCCGCGAGGGCTGCTCCTCAGCAGCGATGGCGGCGATCGAGGTGGTCGACGTGCGGACCGACATGCGGCTGCAGCGGTTCGATGGCACGGATGAGAAGTGGGGAGACTGGAGTCTCCGACTCGAGGCCTACACCGCGCTGCTCGGCTTCGAGGAGTTCATGATGGCGGCGGGCCAGAGGCAGGACCCGCTGCTGAACGACCAGCTCGACGAGCGCGCGAGGCAGGTCAGCCAGCGTCTGTGGCACCTGCTGATCACCTACTGTGAGGGCAAGGCGATGGGAGTGGTCAAGCTCTCGCGCAAGAACGGCCTCGAGGCGTGGCGCCAGCTCAAGAATGAGTGCGAGAGTCGTTCAGGGAATCGTTGGACGACAATGCTGCGGTTCATCTTGAACCCGCAGGA